CACACAAACATTCTTCATAATTTTCTGGCTGTGTGTGTGTGTGTGTGTGTGTGTGTGTGTGTGCGTGCGTGTGTGTGCATGTGTGTGTGCGTGCGTGTGTGTGTGTTTAGACTCAGGAGCTGTATAATGTGATTGAGGGGCAGAACAAAACACTGTGTAAACTCAGAGAGAGCCAGCGGCTGCAACCCACACAGGTGAGTACACACACACACACACACACACAGTGGCACCCAAGGCGGCCCCTAACCTCTTCATTCCTGGAGTACCGCTCTCAGGATCAACACTCTTGCACAAAATAAATCACATCTCGACGCACACGTGACGTTTACCGAGTCGCAGTTTCTTTCTTTCTTTTGCACCATTTCCCCGTGCAGCAAGAGCCCCCCCCACACAACCGCCCATACTGCCCATGCCCAAATCCATTACTGCACACACACGCACGCACACACACACACACACACACACACACACACACACACACACACACACACACACACACGCAAGCACGCACGCACACACTCACACACACACACACTCAGAGTATTTGACAGATTATTCCCTAAATCATCTGACGCACACTCTGCTGCTGTCATTGGTGTATTCCCTGCGTCTCGCTCACCTTCAGTGGACGCTTCCCTCTCCAGCTGCCCTGAGCAATGTGCACTCGCAGTCCTCAGAGTGTGTGTTTGAGTGTGTGTTTGAGTGTGTGTTTGAGTGTGTGTTTGAGTGTGTGTTCAGAGTGTGTGTTTGAGTGTGTGTTTGAGTGTGTGTTCAGAGTGTGTGTTTGAGTGTGTGTTCAGAGTGTGTGTTCAGAGTGTGTGTTCAGAGTGTGTGTTTGAGTGTGTGTTCAGAGTGTGTGTTCAGAGTGTGTGTTTGAGTGTGTGTTTGAGTGTGTGTTCAGAGTGTGTGTTCAGAGTGTGTGTTCAGAGTGTGTGTTCAGAGCGTGTGTTCAGAGTGTGTGTTTGAGTGTGTGTTCAGAGTGTGTGTTTGAGTGTGTGTTCAGAGTGTGTGTTTGAGTGTGTGTTTGAGTGTGTGTTCAGAGTGTGTGTTTGAGTGTGTGTTCAGAGTGTGTGTTCAGAGTGTGTGTTTGAGTGTGTGTTCAGAGTGTGTGTTCAGAGTGTGTGTTTGAGTGTGTGTTCAGAGTGTGTGTTTGAGTGTGTGTTCAGAGTGTGTGTTCAGAGTGTGTGTTCAGAGTGTGTGTTCAGAGTGTGTGTTCAGAGTGTGTGTTCAGAGTGTGTGTTTGAGTGTGTGTTTGAGTGTGTGTTTGAGTGTGTGTTTGAGTGTGTGTTCAGAGTGTGTGTTTGAGTGTGTGTTCAGAGTGTGTGTTTGAGTGTGTGTTTGAGTGTGTGTTCAG